ATTGGTGTAGAGTATACGACAGGCTTTAATAAAAGGTTAATGTGTGGAAGAGAACAGCAGGGGGAAGGGGGTGACATCTGTCCTTCTTTCAACTTTAGAGAGGAAAGTCAATGGATGGACTGTAGAGTTGACCGTAAAGTCCCAGTTTAATGACTTCCAGGGAGTTTGATGAACGTCTTTTCTCGAAAATCTCACAAGCAAGTCACTTTGCATCTCTGGATGGGCATCGATAATGTCAGATTTTCTGAAGTTATGTTTGCTGCATCTTGCAAATGATCTGAATTAATTCTACTGAAGATTTGACCAACCAAAGAATGACCGGAACCCCACCCATTAACCCCCTCCCCAAAGCACCATCCTAGCACCCATCAGCCAGCAACAGCCCACCACCCCTCAGCATTCCAACATTTTCACCCCTCACAAATCCAGCTTACAAACAACAGACAGGATTTTAACTTTTACCAAAAATTACCTGTTCAAAAGGCAAAAAATGCATTATGGGTATTGCCATATACTATGCTGTATTCATTTTCAGCTGACTCTGTTTCTTTGTTATTCTTACAGTCTGCGGCAATAGAGGTATGACATCTCTGATGGCGACGCACAGTGACCATGACTTGAAAGCTATCTCTCCGAGAGGGGTGGCAGCAAAAAGACAAGATGGAAGCCTCACCAGTCCACGGCAGCAAAAATCACCATACCACCACAATTCTGATGGAAAGGAACATGTGAGGCCCTCTAATCATAGACCAAGAGAGAACAGTGCTGCAGTAAGCTTTAGCACTAATAATAACTCTGTAGTATGTCTTCCTTTGGTATCTGAAGGACTAAAGCTAGTGTGGACCCAGTCTGATCAAACACGTGAGCTGGATGGTATCCCTGCTCTTCAATGTATCCTATGGGGTCGGCAAAGCTGCAGTGAGTTCGTGCACACAGCATTACAGATTCTGTGTCTGAAGTCATTTTCAGTATATAATTTCAGTTGCACAGAATTCCACAATCATTCTTTCTGTTTGTAGACTATTCCTTCATTATTCTCAATGTATTTATTTATGCTCCAACTTTCATCCGGTTCTTTTCTTCAGTGTGACAGAATGGCAGCGGACATGGCAGTAGAGCTGAAGAAGAAAGGTGTGGTTTCTGTAAGCCTCTGGCCAGGGGCCGTTCAGACTGAGTTAATTAATCAGTATACATCTCATGATGAGGCTCCTCCAGGATTTGATCCAAAAGTAAGCCTTTTTATTTGTCGAAGCCCTTAATCATAATTGCTTAAGTTCATGGAAAAAAATAAAACTTGTCTTCCTAAATATTTACAATCTATCTTTCTCAGTTCAAAGAAATATTTAATAAGGGTGAGACGACAGAGTTTACTGGACGATGCATAGTTGAGCTGGCCAAAGGTTGGATTTTTTTAAAGACTAAAGTTAACATGTTATGAATTACAGTGAAAGTAATTGGTGAGAAATGAATTGTCTCGAGGCTTTAGATGACATATTTTCTGCTTCTTGGTGACAAACAGATAAAAGTCTAACGTCAATGACCGGGCAAGTGTTGATGACCTGTGACCTCGCTCGCCGCTATGGACTCAAGGATGTGGATGGTACAGTGAAAATGTTTATGCAGAAGCAATAGTTTTCCAGTTACGATAAACGTAATTAGATGATTAGATTGAGATGTTACAAAATTAAATCCTACACAGGGTTTTTTTATGTGCTCCTTGTTATTTCAGGTCGCAGTGTCATGGACTACACCTCTTTGAAGTTTGTCGTTTCTCAGGTACCCTATGTGTCCTGGCTGTCCGTATTCACTCCTTCATTCATCAGAGTGCCTCGTTCCATGCTGAGCCTTGGCAGTGGAAAAATCTAATATGTCTCAGTGAAGAGACATTGTCTATTTTTTTTTATCTCGTAAAAAAAAAAAAAAAAAGGATGTTTCTAAAATTACTGCAATGTCCATTTTTACAAATGAGTAAAGCACTGATTAAAATTACAGTAGCTGAGTCTGGAAGACAATTAATGCACAACTCGTGAGCAGAATTAGTATTGTCACAACTCTGTTTTCTAAAATGAAAAAATTTATAAAAATACTGGTATATTAACATACTGTTTTTAACTTGAAAGGGATTAATTAACCCTGTTATGGATGATTGTATACTTACTAAACGAGTTATTGCAATAAATACCGACATTTTACTACAGTCTTTTGTGTTGTATTATTGATAGATTGATATATCGCTCTTGAACCCTTCATTCCGATTGGTCAAACACCTGTGCAACATTGCATAATTGTCCACTTTTCTGGGAAAAGAGTGGTTCTCATGTCTCTGCAAGTACACTAATTAAAGTATTTTAACTCAAATCAATATTTTTAATGTGCATTGTTAAATAGCCATGTAATAAGTTGGATAATGACTAGTCAGTCTGTCATTAGCACAAAACAAACACAGCTTGATTAGTTTTCCTGGACATTCTTTCTGCTCACATTAGAATGATTAATCTCAAATTAATAATTCACGTATATTAATTTATTTGGTGGGTAGCCATGTATTATGCGGGATAATATAGTCAAAATAAACCCTGACGGTGATCAGGACCCTTATGCAAAGTGAATGGCTCGTGTCAACCTTAAGGAGTTATTGTTGTTTTGCTTGTTTACTAATTTGTAGATTAAATTAATTGCTTCTTCCTAAACTCAAACATTCATAAAGTTACTCATAAAGTTACATCTGACATGTCTGATCAAAGTATAATGATATGCATCCTTACCTGCAGACTCCTAAAACTTATCATGTGGCACAATTCACATGGTAATTACATCCCAGATGGGAAGTGCATTCACGGGGCCAAGTTTCAGCTGTGCTCCTCCTTCCATTACTCTCCTTCCCGGATTGGACCTGCATGGCCACGGCACCGTCATTGCATGAGAAAGAGGGGGCTGGTCCGAGTTTCCTGATCCTCTCTGTGTAGCCTCGGTCTGACCGGATAGGCGAAAAACACGTCGGGATTTCCAGAACAAAAACGACAACGGACAATACAAACCAGCTGGAGTGGTGTATCTACATACAGCCTTGACAGAATTTCAAGCGGTGAGTTGTTGTTTCACGCGAACTACTTTACAGTTTACGTTTGTAAAGTTTTTAAAGCAGAGCCGAGACGGAATTAAGGCTCTCGAAGCTTGTTATTGCGTCGTTAAAGCCACGCGAGGAGTCAGAGGCGATTTTGTCTTACGTCGCGTTGTGTTACATTATTTGAAGGATTTGTTTTGCTCAAGGTTCAACGGGGAATGTGCGGTTAAGTGGGACAACGGGAGTTTGTTTATGTGTTACTGAAGCGTGAGCGGATCCTGCGCCACAAAAGGGCTGATGTACAAGAGCTGTTATGGCATAAACCCTTGTATATTGTTGAAGCGTTCGGTTTATGTTGGCCCTTACACCTGTTTACGGTTTGGTGGATGAACACATACTGTAGTGATCTCATCTCGCATCCTACGACTTGCGTCAAAAGTTCCCCACATAAGCTGATTATAATAGAGGCCATGGACAAACATCGACTACTGACGCAATTTCCAACAAGTCTAACCAAGTTTATTTAGTGTAAACCGCATTGTATGTCTGTTTAGTGTATAAGAATGATTTCAGAAATGATATTAAAATAAATAATAAATAGGCTACTTATATCCACAAGTTAATATATTTGTGAATTGGACACTAATGTACAAATGGTAACCCTGCTAAACAAAAGCTACACTGATTTCAAGGGACTTTAGGCTTAGTCGAGTCATTCCAAGTCATCATCTGATAAATGAGGTCACCACGGGCGGTCGGGAATTTATCCTGTCAAGTTCACCTCTAGCTTGTTTTGTAGATGACTTGCCTGCTCATTGCGTGTAGTGGTAAATTGCCTAATATTGGCAAAGCTTTTCCAAGCAGAATTGCTTAAGACCGTGCTCACGTAGACTACTGGCAAAGTTTGTTTCTGTGGTTCACAGTTCAGCTTTGTTTTGGCCTCATTAAAGTCATAGTTTGCCACATGGAGCTAAAACTCAAGGTACCGTGTTGCTGATTTACAAATTGGTGACCATAAGTAGTTAAGATGTCCTATTCAGGACAAACTTGAAAATAAACTCATGGCATGATTAGATTTTAAAGTAAAAATCTAAACCTTTTCATTTTAAGCACAAACGCAGTAATGGGATGGCCAACATCTGCTCTGTAGACTGTGCTGTGTTGGGTAGGCAAACTGCAAAACTGGCAAACAAAGCAGCTTGACAAATTGCACCAACTTTTGTTACCTTTATTTAACTGAGACCGACTCTTACTATCTCTTGGCCATCTGTTGGAAGGTTAAACGAACTTCTATATGGTTCTACGGGGTTAGGCAAACGAGGGAAGTGGACCATTACAAGCACTGGAAAGGGGCAAGGGAGCTGTGAGGGGCAGGGCCCCCATCTCTCTTTTGCCCAAGTCCGCCATAGTGGGGGTTGGGTGTGCACTGGTGTAGAGTATACGACAGGCTTTAATAAAAGGCTAATGTGTGGAAAAGAACAGCAGGGGGAAGGGGGTGACATCTGTCCTTCTTTTAACTTTAGAGAGGAAAGTCATTGGCTGGACTGTAGAGTTGACCGTAAAGTCACCTTGAGCCTCTGGTAGGCATCGATAATGTCAGATTTCCTGAGGTTAAGTTCACTGCATCTTGCAAATGATCTGAACGAATTCTATTGTAAATTTGACCAACCTAAGAATGACCAGAACCCCACCCATTAACCCCCTCCCCACAGCACCATCCTAGCACCCATCAGCCAGCAACAGCCCACCACCCCCCAGCATTCCAACCTTTTCACCCCTCACAAAATCTGGCTTACAAACAACAAAGATTTTAATTGTTACCAAAATTAACTGTTTTAAAGGCAAACAAATTGCATTATGGGTTTTGCACATGCACTACCATGCTGAGTTCATTCTCAGTTGACTAATTTTTTTTGTTCTTTTTACAGTCTGTGGCAATAGAGGAAAAATATCTCTGATGGCGACGCACAGTGACCATGACTTGAAAGCTATCTCTCCGAGAGGGGTGGCAGCAAAAAGACAAGATGGAAGCCTCACCAGTCCACGGCAGCAAAAATCACCATACCACCACAATTCTGATGGAAAGGAACATGTGAGGCCCTCTAATCATAGACCAAGAGAGAACAGTGCTGCAGTAAGCTTTAGCACTAATAATAACTCTGTAGTATGTCTTCCTTTGGTATCTGAAGGACTAAAGCTAGTGTGGACCCAGTCTGATCAAACACGTGAGCTGGATGGTATCCCTGAACTTGTTCAGGCCTTCAACATCTTCCCCTATCCAACATCTCAAGAGGTCAGCACCCTTGCCCGTGTCTGCGCTCTTCCCCTAGATAAAGTCAAAGTGTGGTTCATGGTGCAACGCATCAAGTATGGAATTAGCTGGGCCTCGGAGGACATTGAAGAGACGTGGCTCAAGCTGGCTAGACCAGTGCGAACAAGTGAAACTGAACACAAAGAGAGCAGTACAAAGAGGAAAAATGGAATTGAGGATTTAAAGGAAACAGAAAATCATGTAGAAGATCTAGCGCAAAGTCCACAAGTGCCTCGTAAAAGACATAAAATTGAAAGCACAGAACCAGCAAAGCTCTTTCCTGCTCTCTCACATTTCCGTTCATCTCTCCCACCTCCCCAGGATTCGTACAACTACCGACAGCCAGTAGAAATCCCAGAAACGCCTCAAGCAGCCACTCCACCTACTTCTACAGAGTCTCCTGTTGGATCTGAGCAGCCACGGCAGGGGCGCTACAAAAAGTCCAAAGCCCAGTTAGCTGCTTTGCGTAAGAGTTTTCTACAGGAGAATTGGCCTGATGAGACAGAGCTTCAGCGCCTACAAGAGGAGACAGGCCTAACTCGTAATGAGATTCGAAAATGGTTTAGTGACAGTCGTTACCAGCTGCGAAATGGTAGAGGGTTGTCGACATCCTTCTCCGCTACTCAAGGAGAAAAAAATGAACCCAACTGCAGTCTATCATCTCAGTCTCAGGAGGTTCAGCCTCTTCCTCTCACTACTAAAAAGCAAACAACAGAGCATGCTGATGATGAAGGCAAGGAAAAGGTTCGTGTGAAAGGATCACGAAAGAATCGGCCAAAGAATTCTCAGTTTTTCCAGCTTTTCCTGTCTAACACACTTGAGGCATTTGAAGAAGGAGCATTAGTTGTGGACGAGGAGAAATGTTCAGAGGAAAGTGAGATTCAGATTAATGAAGCTGGAAGCGATCAGGAAAGTGAGGGACTTTGTTTGACACCTCCAGAGCCAGTTGCACCCACTTCCTCCTCTTCTTCTCCATCAATCACCCCATCTAAAAAACACTCAGGCAGGTCATTGAAATCTACACGCTCTGCCAAAGCAAATGCTTTGAACAACTCCCTAAACTCCTCGGATAACACTTCAATTTCTTCAGTATTAACAGTGGCTGGACGACCAAGGAAAACAAAGGAGCAACTGGCTGTCCTAAAGGAATACTTCCAGCGCTGCCCATGGCCAAAGAGTGATGTATACACACAGATAGTGGAACTAACATCTTTGCCTCGTGCTGACATTATCCAGTGGTTTGGGGACACGCGTTATGCTGTAAAAAATGGCAATGTACGCTGGGTGCATGCTGACGTACGTGACCAAGTGCTTGCTGAGATAGCATTGTTACAAAGTGGAGGGGCTGCTGCCGATGCCGCTGGAACCCTAGGAAGTGAAGGCAACAGGAAACGTAAGTCACAAGGGAACAGCACACCAAAAATGCAGAAGTCTGCAACAGATTCTGTAGACCTCAGTCCACTGGAGCAGTATTATCGACAGACCGGACCACTCCAAGAGAAAGACCTTGACAATCTCTGCCGGAAGTCAAAAATGAGTTATCAACAGGTCCGAGACTGGTTTGCATCTAAAGACAGTACAACACTGGACACAGAGATCACTGTTATTGATTGATTAATATAAGAATGAAAACGGTTTGTGCTCATGTCTGTTAATCTGCTGTGAAACCCCTTTGAAGGCACAGTATAAAATCACTTCATGCAGTGCCCTCTATGTAAAAAAACAAAAAAACAATAGCAATGTGAAGTTTAAAAAAAAAAATTGTATACACTCACTACATGATTTGTTAAACGGGCAGTATTGAAATGTAAAATGTATTTTTTGGTCTTTAACAAATACTAAGTAATGTTCCTGTGGTGCTCTGGGAGTCATCTGTCCACTGGCTGTTCCTCCAGTTTGTGTTGTTGGTATTTTTGTTAGTAATCCTTTAGAGCCTTAATTGCTGCTTCTTAGAGCTGATATGATATTCAAACTGTTTAGATTTCCCGAAACCTTGGCTTGGTTATCTATTAGGTACTGTAGTTTAGTTTTTTTGGACCAGTAACTTTAGCAATGCGAGGGTATGTTTTTGTAAATTTTTAGTTTAACTAATTTAAGAACATATATATATTCCCCTCCAATTATCTTTAACATTCCGCACTTAGAGGTTTATGGATCCATCAATGATACTTCATTGTGTATAAACATTTCATTTGAATACATCCCTACTCCACTGCAGTGAAAAGACAACAAAAGCCATGGTTTTTGTAAAATCTGTCTGTCTCTAATTGTCTGTAAATGTGTGTTTCAGGGAGGCGAAACATTGCATTGAAATAAAACATGACTGATTATGTTTAACTCACTGTTGCATTCTGTTCAGTTAACCTCTTGACATCAATCATGTCAAAGATGTCTCATCAAAAGATGTCTCATGGTGTATTTACAAAAAAATGGTAAATACCATTGGTACCATATTTGCATTAGGAAAATATGGCATGAATTGTAAATCCTTCACATCATTTAAAGTAGCCCTATATTTAGCATTAACATAAGGTTTAAATTAATCAGTATTTCACTTATCAACAAAGATGCACAAGTGTTGGTTATGTGTGCTGACAGTTCATGGCTGCATTTCCCAAAAGCATAGTAAGCCTAAGTAAATCGTAGAACCATTATCACCAATGGTAGCTAGTACGATCTACTTGGCTCAAGATGCTTTGGAGGAACACAGCCCAGATCTTTTGGTATGCTTAACAAAAAATTATGTCTGTTTTGTGATAAATTCCACCTATAAAAAGGAAACATTAACATTAACTGCTGTTAATTAAAATTATACGATAAATTGATGCTGAAGAGTTCAAGACATTCCTCTTTCCCATTCCTTGCGTAATGTAGCTGTTTCACGTTTTCTGTTATAATAAACTGGAAAAAAATGCAATTTGTTTGACTGATTTATTTCTAACATAATTTTTTGTTGTAACTGAGCCCAGCTTACAAAAATTTAGATATGTTGAAATATTTTTGATTATCACATTTAATGGTTTTCTCTTAATTGCAAATTCAATTACATTGCCATTGGAAAATGAAGGCGGGTTACATTTTGTATGTGTAATTTCAATTCTAACAATAATCTCATTCAAAAAATGAGCAAAATACTTGTGATACTGAGACCAACGTAAATGAAAATCATTTATGGCACATACAGCCTTTATTTGTGCCATCTTTAATCAGTAAACTAAAAATTGCATTTTTCAAATAAATTAATGTCAATATAATTGTATCTACTGATAAGAAGGATGGATGAAGTAGATCACTCCTTTTAGGTGATGTGGATGCATTAGTGATGAAGTGGCTTTCTAATGACATGAATTGGCTACAAACGATTATTGGTTATGGCCTTGGGGACTGGAGTGTAGGCCTAGCCAGAAGCTGGAACTGAAAATTGTTTAGGGTTGTATGTTGGGACCTACAAATTATGAGAAGGGAAGATGGACAGTGCAAATGCTTAGTGTGAAAACTTTCAGTTTAGGGCATTAAAAATGTTTAGTCTTGGTAAATGCATAAAACGTTACCTTGTGGGAGCGTTAACTGAGCTGGGTGTCCCTTTAAGATAAAAAGAGAACATAAGCATACAATGAGTCTAAACAGTAGAGTGTCTACCTTGACATTATCGTTACTTTATGAACTCAAATAATGATATCTGAGAGATATGATTAACAATGTCAGTATTACATCACTTACTGAAACCATGTTCATGTACTGAACTCACGCTTGACATAGAGATGGATGACCCTGGGGGTGTCTAGAACAGATTAGACGTAAAACACATGACAATTTCTTATTTCCATATGACTTGATAACCGACTATATTACAGTTTTTCTCGATTGTTAACACTCAATTCATGAAACAATTCACCATTTTCTCACAACCATAAACACAATCTCAAAACTATACACCAACTTGTGCAAACGTCAAACTTCCAGGTCAAAATCAAATAGTTTAGTCAAAAACATGTTCTCTTTTGTCAGACTCAAACTTTGGCCTCAGATGATACACAAACCAGTCAAATGCACAGACTATTTTTCTGCCTAGAGAACACTAGTGAGATCAATTCAAAACACTGTTACAAAAACCTCCTTTTGGGAAATAGGAATCCTTTTGCTAGTCAATGTCTGTTACAGTATATGACATAAATAGAGGGATGCAGATACAGTAAAATTCAGAATTAAACAGTAAGAAAGGTTTACTTTCATTACACTACCGTAAAGAGATCTTACAGTAGATGAAAAGCATTAGAAAAGAAAAGTTCAAAAACCATACAACAGAATATACAGTAAACACATTGGAATATACTGTCAGTTACTGTAAATAAATAAATAAATTAATTAATTCAGCATCCTCTGCCCAATTGCATTACAGTATTTCATGGTCAGTCCATGCAGAAGAACATGGTCAACTATAGTGCTTTGTATTTCATCAGGAACAAATGAAATTTGACCTCATCCCCTTCGTTTTTATTTTCCCCTCCAATTCCTTTGTCTCCCACTACCAAGATTCATTTTCCAAAACACAATCAGCTGTGCTCTTGTTCACATCATCCTGAGATTCTGACCTGTGTCATCAGTTTTGCTACTTAATGTTCACACATGGATAAATGTGCGCTGTTTGAGTTCATTTTTTGATGCTTGAGTTAATTATATTGTGTGTTTGTGTTTTCTGAATGAGAACATGGTTAAACCTGTGCAAAATGATGGCGTTTTTGTGTAGAGTTTTGCAGAAAACACTGAGCAAATTGGAACGTGTGTGCAAACAGGTGAAATGTGTTCAAAGTTTTGAGAAACGTGTCTTTGTTTCGAGAGCTGTATGAATGGTTTGGAAAACTGGGCCAAATGAATCAGTTATAATGTGTTAGCAATAGAGAAAAACTGTAAACTGAACACACCTTATACTAGAATATAGTAGAGACGCTAACTCACTGTCATGCCGAGTCTGGAATGTCTAAACCTCTCCAAAGTGTCACCCGAACTTGCACAACAACCAGAATTGAATAGTATTATTTGGGGGAAAGCAAATCTACTATATAAAAATAATTGACATGACAGAATGCAAGCTACCTGACAGCTCTAGAGTGAGGTGTGACTTTGGAAATGCAATGGGAAATACAATGTGATGAGAACAATATATACAGTGTTTCAGTCTAGGAGCTGAAGTTTCTGTCTCAAGCTACGAAACTTGCTACCTGGTGATGTGACAGCTACAGGAAGAATCATCCTTGGAGTTCCTCTGTATATGTAAAGAATATATTTTAAATGTATATTATATTATATTACATTACATTATGACCCACATCTATGCACATAAAGACAATTATCTGTATTTACCCATTAATTGAAAACCTCCCAGGAGATGTCTGTGTGGAGAAAAGAAAAATTATAACATCCAAAGAGAACGGAAGTTAGAAGGGAAGCATGAGACATGCAATAAGAAACTCTCACCCTCCTCTGAGAAAGCGGCTTCTTTAGTTATTAATTCTCTTGTTTCAGCTCAGACACTTGCCTTAAATAAAACACAAATAACTAAATAGTCCCATTTTTAAAGTGCCACTGAATATATATTAGATATATGCCACAAATGACCACCTGTAGCACTGATCACAGACTTCTTTCACCTTTCGTTCCAGTTCCACAGACCTGTTTCTTAAGAATGCAATGACTCGCTCCTTCTGCCTTTTCTGAAAAATAGTGATCTGAAACAAATGCATCTTCTTAAGTTATAAATAGCAGAATTGTGTTAGCTTAGGGCTTGATGTCACTTTGACATGATGTTTTCATGTACCTGAATTCACAGCAAATGTTTGTTTGTTTTTGTTTTTTTGGCCTTACAAATGCAGTCAATTCTAAACTAATAGGGACAAATAAAATGTATTTGATAAGCAGTAAATGACCTGTGCAATATGTTCCAGTCGAGTCTGATTAAGTTTCACTGGATCTTTGAAAAACATCTTTTCCTGTGGCTTCATCTTCAAAAAATGAAAGGAATATATAGTAAACACATGGTTGTTTAAATGTTGTTTGTAACCAAAGTTAAACATTTTTCTAATTAATATTAATGCATGTAACCAGTGACAAATAATAATATATAAATATTAGTAATGCACTCAGGGTTTTAACTCATTCTGCTTCTATCTCCTTTTTAATCAAACAATTCAGAAAAAGTCTGTACACTACTGCTACTTCCTGCAATTTTTAATTACAGAAATTATTCAGGAAGTTGACAAAAAAGATTCTTAGCATGTAGGACTACTTATTTCTTACTGATAACTAGTTGTCAACCGTTGTTCATAGAGCACACATCAACTGAACTCATTCTCAAAATTCAATTTTGACTAAACTTTCATGACCTTAATCTCTCATAGGTTAACGGTGTATAAACAGAATCATAGTTAGCAGTCCAAACGAGTTTGGACCACCAGGCCCACCTCCAGTGTGTGCAAAGGGACCCTCAGGGTAGAGCTGTAAAGTTGGGGGGTGGGTAGGAGCATAGTTTTCAAGGTGGGCCAGACCCACCCAGGCCCCCCTGTGGAGCAAGGCCTTCTAAAAACAATATTCTGTGTGAATGTTGCGGAGATAATTTGGTCTCTCAATGTGGGTTGGATTTACCTGATCAGATATGTGAAGGTAGTTACAGTTGGCATGACAAACTCGGCACTGACCTTTAGGAGGATATTACATTTACTTGATTCACACTAGCC